TCAATGCTGAATTTCTTTTATTTCCTGCAATATGTCAATCTCAGGACTCATGTAACCTCTTTGTAGTAGCTGTTGTTCCTCACGGCTGCAATTCTTTTTTGAAATTTTTGCATGGCTTATCATAAATCATTTCAAATGATAGCTGCTCAGAAAGAACTTTCCTGACACCAGTCCAGAACATTTAAGAAACCACTCTTTATCACTTTACACCATTTTTATTCTTGTTATAGCCATTTTATCTTGCACCTTCTTTCTTTACTCCCTCTTATTTAGTCTCCTTTCTCTCTATGTCTCCATTTACCTTAAAATAAGCTGTGTGAAGGTAGAGATTTAGTCCAACTTGTTCACTTATGTATGTCTATAAGTTAGAACAGTGTCTAGAACAGACTAAGCACACCAGAAATATTTGTTGAATAATGAATACATCAGTTCTGCCTCTTGAGAGAAATATAATAAACATTTTACTGTGCATCCTTTTAATCTTTTTATACATACTACAGTATTCAAAATTTGAATTCATTATTTGACTTCATTAATTTATTGTAAATCTCAAAATCTAGTTATACAGCAGGAACTTTGGGAGATATGATTCTACATCTTCTCTTTCAAGGAGCTTAATACTTAGACAAGATAAGGAAATACAACACAGCACAATCTGAAAGTTAATAAAAATATATCATAATATCAAATGAGTTGTCATAGAACCTATTCAAGTTCCAGAGAAGACAAGTTTTATAGAAGTTCAGTGAAGGGAGGGTTCTTAATGAACTAGAATCTAGATGAATGATGATGTACTAGTCTGATTTTGGGACAGATAGACAGAGAAGATATAAAACAAGAGGAGGACACAATGGTAAGGTGAGAGTTGTAGGATAAGGAAGTATACTAGAAGGTACTGGATGCCAGGCTGAGCTGCTTGAACTTAATTGGGTCAGCAGTAAGGAAGGCTTGCAAATAGAAAGTGACATAATGAAGATTGATCTGACAATAGTATAAGAAGAAATGGAGGAGTAGATATTGGAGGCTAGGAGGACCAGTTCGGAAAGTTTCTCTAAAGAGCCAAGCATGAGACAGTAGGGCTTAGACTAGGATAGTGCTAATGCCAAGCAAAGGGATGATGAGAGAAAAAAATGGTAATTATGCTAGATGATGGATGTGTTAATCAATCTGTTTGTGGTTATCATGTCACAAAGAATGTGTGAAAATTCTTGAAATATATGTCACTTTACATCATTAACCTTATCTGATTTTTAAAGTTTGTGACAACCTTACAAAGGTTATGAATAGAATTCTGATTATTTTCATATTGATGTGACAATCAAAAGTCTTTAAATGACAGCAATTGAAAGAAAATTTAACATAAGTGACATAATTATTGAAGATCAAATTACAACCTTTGTTCCCCTGACCAGTCTTCACACACACAAAAAGATGAATTTTTGTGTTTTTAATAGTACAGGTATAGAAAGCTAAATAATCACACTTCATTCCTTGTGTTATCTAAAAGAAGAGGAAATATAGTCACAAAATAATTTGCTGAATGTATTACATTTACCTCAAAAAGAATCCAAAATATATAAATTACTAAAATATGAAATATATAAACTTTGTGCTTAATTCTGCCTATAAACATAGCCTAGTATGTTATTTAGCTCTGCAAAAATTAAATAAAAGGTTTAGAGTTAGCCTTAAATCAAACAAATGTGTCCAACATTCCTTAATACTTGCAATGTGGCGAAGTCATTAGTGTACATTGTTGCTCTGAAGTCTTTAGTCTCGTGATGTTCTTATGAATAAATTATTATTTGACTTTAGCCTTCTGTAGGATCATACATACAGAATCAGAGCTTCAAATGAGAACTATTTTAGGCCCAGAATATGTAAAGGACAGCCATTCTCCTCTCACCTTTATTTTCCCCATACTTTGGAGATAAAACAACACCAAAAATGATAGACAACATAAATTGTCTTTATTATTTGTGCTGTTTTTGCCTGACATGAGCCCATGGAGACATTTGAGAAATGAGGCATCAATCCTCTATGGCAGTGTTTCCCAAACTTCTCTTACTAGTATACAATTTTACTTATATGTTCCAAAAAAATTCTAGTTTAGCATTTCTTAGTTGGGATTCAGGAATCTGTATTTTAACAACTCCATCATGAGAGAAGTTTGGGAAACACTGCTCTATGGGAACCCGAAAGAGCTCATTTTGTTGCAGGGTGTCCTAGGGAATGCCAGCATGGAGTTGGTTGGTAGTAGACATGCCATTATAACAAAAAAGCATTTCTGAGCGTAAAGTCACATGCAGGAAATCAAAATTAAGAGAGAGGAAAGGAGACTTGGTGACATAATTTGAGTAAATGGGACTCTGGGTTTATTCAGTTTTGTCAGCAAGTAGGTTTGGATTTAACTTGTTTGAGTCTCTGTCTCTTATTTGCAAAATAAGAGAATTACACTTCCCTTCTCGAACTCAACCTTAAGTGTAATTTCATTTTCCTGTTATTAGAAAAATCAGAACCATGTCACAGACACTCTTCCAATGGGAATGAATTAGTAGAGTGCTTCTAGCTTGAAACACAGCTTGGTCTAAACAGTCTTTTAGGGCTTACAGTCTATGTTGTTTATTTTGTGCCAACATATTAAAAAATATGTCTAATTACTGAGTGGTGAATAATACATTAGTAGTTTCTTTATTCACTGAACTTGTTATTTCATTATTTGGTCCATATGTTGATACCATCTGAAAGTGAAACCACAAAATCAATTACCTAACAAAACTCCAGTTTAAACTACAAAGAGTTGAAATGAGAGTTGGTGTACAATACATGTAAAATGTAGTCAAGTGTACTGATGTCACACATAGTTTTTAAATATAGAATTCTAGAAATTGCTGGGGGTAAAGAGCTTGAAGGGCTCCGATATTATGTGACATATTCAATGCTATAATATATTTCACATAAAGAAGACTTTGTAACCGAAAATAATCAAGCAAAATTCTGCCCTTGACTATTGTGCTTAAGAAAAGAAAAAAAAAGAAAAAAGAAAAAAGGACTAAAGAGAAAGTTGAGTTTACTCAGCATGTAACTGTATGGCTATTTTGTGCTTTCTTGGACAAAAATAAAAACCAAATTCTTATTCATGCAAAATAAACTGACATTTGAATTAATTTATTTTCTTTCTCTGAAAATGGAAAAACTTAACTTTCTTATGATTTCTTTATGCAACAAATTTTATAAAAGATATGTTTAACAGTAATGTGATAGTACATATAGAAAAAAAGCCTTTTTTGGTAAGAGATTTTGTTTGTTTTTTCTAGGCACCAGTGTTGTTTGTTTGTTTTTTGTTTTTTTTATCTGTAATAGAATCTGTAGAATTTGGGATTTTTTATCAGTTTAAAAGTGTCTTTCCCCCCAATCCCACCACCACCACCACTCTGTCAATCTAACAGAATGTGTTTATTGAATCGATAACTGGCATTAAAATAAAATGTGCTTTATTTAAGAGAAACATGAATAAACTAAATTATATAAGATATAGCCCTTATATAATCTTCATCCCTATGAATTAGGAAATTGTATTGGCCCCAACTATATATTTTTTCTCTAGTGTATCACATGATAGTCATTGATAACTATGGCCAAGTAGTTTTAGTGAAGTATTTATTCATGTAACAATTATTTATAGAGGACCTACTATGTTCCAAGCACTGTTCTCCACTCTAGATACAGAGCAGTAAACAAGCAGAGGAAGACTCTGTCCTTAAGGGGCTTGCATATTATTAGACAGACAATAAACAACAATGATATAAAATTAGATAATGATAAGTGCTATGAAGAACATAAAGCACAGTAAGAGGTATGCTTGTTAATTTTATGGGTTCTCTTGGGGAGGTAATGGTTCCTAATGGTTAGTGGAACCCTGTCTAGATGTTTCTATGAAGGTGTTTTTAAGATGTGATTAACATTTAAATCAGTAGACTTTGAGTAAAGCAGATTAACCGCCATCCTGTGACTGGGCCTCATACAACCAGTTGAAGGCCTTTAAAAAAGATCAAGACTCCCTGAAGAAGAGAAAATTCTGCCTCTGGAGTCCCTTTGGATTTATGACTGCAACAACTCTGCCCTGGGTCTCAGGCCTGCTGGCTTAGCCTATAGATTTTGGATATGCTAGCCCTACAATCACATTAGCCAATTCCTTAAAATTTCTCTCTCTCTCTCTCTCTCTCTCTCTCTCTCTCTCTCTCTCTCTCTCTCTCTCTCTCTCTCTCTCTCTCTCTCTCTCTCTCTTTGTATGTATGTACGTATACTTGCAAGAGAATGGTCTATTGCAAGAGAAATGGGAAGGGCCGTGGCGAGAACGTGATTGCTATTCTACATAGGTAATCAAGAAAGAATTGATAAGTTAACATTTAAGTAAATACCTACAGCCATAAAGTCATTGGAAAGAGTAAGTTTAGAAAGTGAGAACCATACCCTAACCAGTTTGACTCAGTAGCTAGAGCATTGGCCTGCAGACCAAAGGGTTCTGGGTTCGATTCTAGTCAAGGGCACATACCTCTTTTGCAGGCTCCTTGCTGGCCCAGGCCCTGGTCAGAGTATGTGCAAGAGGCAATCAATTGATGTGTTTTTCTCACATCAATATTTCTCTCTGTCTTTCCCACTCTTTCTAAAAATCAATGGAGAAAATACACTGAGTTGCCCGATTATTATGATTTCTGAACGCATAATAATCTGGCCCAGTGCATGAATTCATGCATGGGTGGGGTCTGGCCAGCCTGACCAGGGGGAGGGGACATGGGCGGTTGGCCAACCTGCCTGCTGATCAAATTCCTGGTCGAAGGGACAGTTTAAATATTAGCCTTTTACTATATAGAATATACACTGAGTGGCCAGATTATTATGCATTCCAAGATCATAATAATCTGGCCACTCAATGTATACCTTGGATGATGATTTTTTTTTTTAAAAAAAGTGAGAATTGCAAGTTCTGAGGCAGGAACATGCTGAGCATGAGCAAGGAATACAAAGTGACCATTGAGGCTGAAAAGGAAGGAGGTAGGTAGAGAGTGGTCCAATTTGAGGTCAGACAGAGGAAGGGAGGGCTGATCGCCAAGTTCCCCAAAAGATAACAGTAAACCACTAGACTCACAGGGTCTTTCTAGCAGAGGAGTAATATGATCTTACACCTGTGATTACTCGACTGGGGGTGGTGAACACACCACACAGTGTACAAATGATGTATTATGCTATAGATCTGTGCACCTGAAACCTATATAATTTTGTTAACCAGTGTCTCACCCCAATAAACTCAATAAAAAAGGGGGGGAAAAAAAACAAAGAAAGAAAGAACAAAACTGACTGCCACGGTGAGAATAGAATCTAGGGGACAAAATGTAATTATCCAGGTGAGTGATGATGGTGAATTGCATTCACTCTCTGAATAAATTCTGTAAATAGAGAAAACAGTATTGGATCAAATAGGGAGTGTGACAGAGAAAAAGGAGTCAAAGTTTTTAATCTGAGAAGCAGAGGATAATAAAGGTGCTCTTGACTGAGATGGGCAATGTTGGAGGAAGAAAAGTGGCGGTGGGTGGAGAGATCCGCAGAGAAGTTTGGTCATAACTTGAGATACTGATTACTCATCCAAGTGGAGGTGTGGTGTAGGCAGCTGGGGGTGTGTCTGGCTCGGCGGAAAAGGTCTGTGAATCATCTGCTTAGAAACTCTACCTGTTAACCTAGCTATTGCTACTTCTGAGGAGGCATTTGGGAAAATATGGGGGCTTTTTGGCTGTCATTATGACTATAGAGAGTTAACTGGCATCCAGAGGACAGGTGCCAAAGATTCTAGGATTCTTACAATGCACAGGATGGGTGCTGAAAACTTCGACATTTCTCTGGGTGTTTCAGAATTCTGGAATGCACTGCTGGAGTAATTCCAGTAAGGTTAACTGTTTGTTTGTTTTTTTTATATATATATTCTGAATTTTTCAGGAATATGACTCTTCTATGCAAATCAACAAAATATTGTACATTGTTTTGATCTCAACTTCTCAAGAGATTTTCATTGCAGAAAATAATGTGACAATATCATCATAACTTATATTTGAGATAATAACTTACTCATCCGTAAGTACTAGTCTGCCTTTAGAGCTGTCACATTCAAATCTATAGCAGAGAAGACTTGAGATTCTTCTTTAAACATACATAGAATCAAATTCTATTACATTAATAGAGTTACATAAAACTTAAGGACCTTATCAAATATTATTATTATTACAAAATATTTTACCTAACTGCTTATTGATTTTAAATATTTTGTAGCACTATAGGAAATATATTGTATAAGCTGTGAATTAGTTATGAAAAATTTTATTGATTTGCTGCTTCTCTTTTCAATTTCCTCTATTCTCAGTTGCCTATCAAAGAATATGGTCTCCAAGTTTTTATTATATACTGGAAGTAATTAGTGGACTTTTAGGGAGAGATATATTTTACTATGTGATAACATGCATAACATAGTACTTTTGAACAATACTTATATGAACACTAGAGGCTCGGTGTATGAAATTCTTATGGGGGGTGGGGGGTGGGTGTCCCTCAGCCTGGCCTGAACCCTCGCCAATCTGAAACTTCTCAGGGAATGTCCCACTGCCACAGAGATTGGGCCTAAACTGGCAGTCAGACATCCTTCTCACAATCCAGGACTGTTGGTTCCTAACTACAGCTTGCTTGCCTGCCTGCCTGCCTGCTTGATTGCCCCTAACAGCTTCTACCTGCCAGCCTGATCGCCCTCTAACTGCTTTCCTGCTGGCCTAATTGATGCCTAACTGCTCCCTTGCTGGCCTGATTACCCCCAAATGTCCTCCCCTGCTGCGACTGGCCTCCTCTGCAACTTGCAGAGCTGTGGAACCTACCCCCCACCCCAGGCCTCACTGCACAGAGCAGCCTCTGGACCCCGTCTCCACTGTGCACACAGCCATCTTGTGAGGCCATCATCTTGTAATGACATGAGGGCATGACGCCACCTAGGTTATTATTAGCATAGATGGCCCAGTTCATTTGTGAGAGTATCATGTTTTCTCATCCCTGTCATTTCCCTCTACACTTTGATTTAGAACATAATGCTTACTTTAGATAGATATTTACCTCTTTCCTTAGCAATACCTCAGGTATTTCTCTTTTTCTAAGAGCTGCAGATTATACATTGAGGTTTGGTCATACTTCAATTTGTGATGTTGATTATTCATAAGTGGAGGATAAACACAGGTTGCTTCCACCTTTTGACTATTGTGAATAATATTGCTATTGAACATGGATGTGCAACTATCTGTTAAAGTCTTTACTTTGAGGAGAACAAAAGTCTTTACTTTCAATTTTGGGGGATATATACCCAGAAAAGGAATTACCAGATCACATAATAGTTCTATGTGTGTGTGTGTGTGTGTGTGTGTGTGTGTGTGTGTGTGTGTATATATATATATATATATATATATATATATATATATATATATATATAAATATATATATTTTTTTTTTTTTTTTTTTTTTTTTATTTTTTAGGAACCACAATACTGTTTTCTACATTTGGCTGCACCATTAGTTATTTCCATCAGCAATGTACAAGTGTTCCAAATTCTTCACACCCTTGCCAACATTTGTTATTTTCTGTTTTCAATTTTGTAATAGCCAACCTAATTGGTGTGAGGTGTTATCTAATTATAGTTTTAATTTTTATTCACCTAATGAGTAGTGATAATGAGCATCTTTTCATGTTTTTATGGCCTTTTGTGTGTCTTTTTGGAGAAATGTCTATTCTAGTTCTTTCACATTTTTTTCATAAAGTTGCTTGTTTTGTTGTTGTTCAGCTGAAGACTTTTTAATTCCTTTTTTCTGCAGGGTAGAATTCTTCATGACCTCTTATTTCTGAACTCATAAGAAAGCATCCCACTTATCTCTACAGTTTCCTATCATTTCAGATCTATGAAGGTACTAATCTTATTTTAAATATAGTAATGCATTTTAATTTTGCTTTTAAACATGTTACTCATTATTATTTAAATAATTCATCCATGTGTTTAGAATAGAGGAAAAGATAATAAACTGGAAAAAAAAATGAGCTGAATTAGAATTCTCTTTTCTCTCCCATGTATTTTAGAGGATAGTGAAAAACGTATTTGTCATGATATAATTCTTGTCACTTTAAAAATATTGGTATAAGTAAATACTAAAAATAAAAACATGCAATACATGAGTAATTTTAATGAATATTATCCTGTTGTTCCAGAGAGATCAGTAGAGGAAGAAAGACCAGGACATCTGGTAGAGATATCCAGATGGAGAGTAGAGAGTAGTTAGAGGTAAAGCATGTCTACCCCACAAATATTCAGTGTCGTTCTATTTTACAGAAGACAGAGGGCTTTTAGGGCAGTATATCTTGACCTTGACATTATTCATATTTTAGATAATTCTTTGTTATAAGAGACTGTCCTGTGCATTGCAGGATGTTTAACAGCATCCCTGGTCTCCACCCACAAGTTATCAGCAGCACCTCCTTATCCCGTAATAATAATAATGATAATAATAATAATGATGATGATGTCTAAAGATATTACCAAGAGTGCTCTGGAAGTAAAATGGTCCCTGGTTGAGAACCACTGCTCTACAGCTATGACTATGTGTTAAAGGTGTGAAGCATATTAACTTGGAGTGACCCCTCAATAGAGGAGAGACAGTGGCCAACATCATGTCACAGTGGACCCATGTAGGATGACAGCATGTAAACATCTCAGATCTTTGTAATGCTAGATGCCACTGTAACTTTGCTCAGCCATGTTACCTTCCAGTTTTTTTCTTCTTACTAAGAAGAGGGATAGTAATGCTATGTAACTATTCTGTACACATATGTTAAACGTAGTCTCAGATTACTGGAAAGACTTAGAGAAAACACTTGGACAAGTCAAACAAATTTTTCTCATCTCAAAGACACAGAAGGAAGTCTTTGTTGAGAGAACACCTGGCAGATAAGCATCAGGCAGGCCTGAGAAAGGGCTTCACCCTGGAGGTAGGGTGGGAGAGGATGTGTGTGCTGGAACTGGTGGGAGGATATGTGTTTGGGGTTAATCCTGCAGTGGGTGAATAAAGTTACATCAGAACTTCAGGAGGCCTAAGGGTTTTCTTACTGATGGGCCTTACATCTAGAAGACTAAGGTCATCCTACGAATAGCCTTGTGTGAATACTTGCTTGAAACCTTTTTACTTGAATTAGTTGCCCCTTGTCAATTCCAGAATTATTTAATACATGATATTACTCAGCCTTGAATGAACTTATCATTTATTATTGGTCACCTCAGGCTAACAGAGCCTGGTCCAAGTAGATTCAAGAGCTCCTAGATTTAGGAGCATAGATGAAAGTTTTCCCAGAAGTGTCTTGGAATAATGCTAACAGGCCTCTGGCCAATGAAGGGCCTATCCTCCAGTTGAATCTAGGGAGGTTTGCTTTAAGAATAGATTGGAATTAAATGAAACAGTGCAAAAAAAAAAAAAAAAGTTCCTTATCCAAGGGTTCTCAATAAAAAGTAGTATCATTATTATCCTTACTAGTGACCCTGTGAATGAAATTCGAGCACACTAAAAGGGGATTAATTAGAGGAAATAATTTAATGTTGCTATTTGCCCTTTCTCTATAATAGAAGTGTCAGAGATGGGGGGAAAAAAAAAAAGATAGTGAAATGTATATGAAAACCTTCCTCCTGTCAGAGTCTGGGGCTCACCAAGGGACCCAGAGTCAAGTCCCCGCCAACCCACATGCACCTCAAAATTGCATGAGACCTAAACCCAGCTGCCCCCCCAAATTGGGCTAGATCCAAACCTGGCCAGTCCTACCCTTGTCAAGCCCTGCCAGACAGGAAGCATAGCCTTAGGTCCCCTGGCTCTGCACCAGGACAGAGGGCATGGCCTGAGATCCCCCAGCCCAGACTGGGGCAGGGTTCGTGCCTTGAGGTCTTCCATCAAACTCTGCCAAGTGGGTGACACAGCCTGAGATCCCCTGTCAAGCC